TAATTGTCTTGGAGTTTAAGTGAAACATTAGACTAGAATAGAACACATCTTATCGCGATTTACACAGAAATTATCGAAGTAAACAAATACATTGTACGAGACATGGTTGATGGACAACAATGGAGCTTTCGGTTACGTCATATTTTTAATGTGACCGTTGTGCACATTTTAAAAAAGTAAAATGAACTTTAAAGTCTGTGTGGGTCGTTTCCATTTTTCGGAAAACAACTAAGATTTTACTTCATAATCGACGCTAAAATCTACTCAAACTGATTATTATTAAAAATTTAATTAATAAATAAAAATAAAAATATCAACCGTAGTTAATGACCCAGTTTGAAAAGAGGAATAAGTTCATCAAACGCTTTCAGCGAAAATAAATTATAGGTGGCTTGTGTTGTCTTTATGATATATATTAATATCGGGACGATCTCTGTCTAGTAATCAGTCTCTATTTCTATAAACATGGAGGTGGAACTAAATACGAGAACAACTGGCCAGGTTTCTAATAAGTAATATAACTAAAGAACTGATTGTTTCTTGGGTTTATATATCTTTGATTTGTTAAGTTCCCAAATCTATAGAAACATGTTACTAACTTATAACAAACCTACCATTACGTTAAGTGGTTAATCCGCAACACCTTAAACAATTCTAATTACAATATTGTTAAGTCGATTATCACTAGAACCGTAGTTATAATACTTAAATATGTAAATTCCAATAAGACCTCTTCAGGTGAAAATGTACAATATAATAATATTGTCTGCGGTGGATAAAGACAGTGCTATATATGCGGGTTATGTTTCCCTGACAGTGACAGTAGATCTATAGTGGGTGGGCGTACCCGGCACCCGGTGCATCCCCCCCCACCCTCACATCTGGATTTCTGACTGAAAAAGTCCAATTACAATTCATTATTTATTTTAGAACCGGATTCTTGTCTCAGATCACTGGAAATGACATGATCTCTGAATCCACCCTTGCCAACCGAGCGACCAGACCCTTTTCTTGTCAAACTCTCAAACACAACAAGGAGGAAAAATGACTCAACAATCCCTTGAGGTACTTTATCCGTCTCGATCGAACGCGGGACTTACTGGTGAATGACAGTATTGAGTCAGCGTCTCACTCGCCGTACCACAAATCTGATTTCTAATACGGATCAGCGGAATCCAGACAGCTTTATAAAACATCATTTTGGATTATTGGCAAGTTCCGTATGAGGGTCAACTTTATATGGTTGTTGCACGAAATGGTCTAATGATAAAATTTACAAAGTCATTTTCTACTTCGTTTATAACTTGTCAATGATAATGATATTTATGATGTCTATTTTAAAAATAACATGGACTTGTAATGTAATTGAAATGTCAACTTATAGATATTCATAAATATCCTATGTACTTAGTTATTTACGGGAGCCACGGTAAATCTATGAGTATGGGGGTAGGCTGGGAAGGGTGATCCTCTCTCTCTCTCCAGCGCACAGAAATGTTGGCTGTGGGAGAACATGATAAGAGTCTGACCCGTGGTACATGTTTGACACTGGTTCAGCAATATTATTGTGGATTAATGAAAATCCAAATCTGAAAATGTCAAAAGCTTGAGTGAGTGAGGTGAGCGAGAGATGGGTTTAACGTCCACTTAACACAAACTAGGTAATTTCGGGACTAATACATGGTTCATTTTTTTATTTCAATCATTCGCTGGCGCGTAGAGATCGTTAGTAGTGGAAGTGAACCGGAAGACTCGGGGAAAACCCACGAGGTTGGTCTGGCGACCTTGGCAGGTACTTGATTCATTGACAGACCCTATGTTGTCACGCGCACGCATTAATTCACTAGCCCCCCCCCCTCCCTGCCTACACGTACAAATTTTTATCGGGGGCGCAAAGGCTCTGAACCCATGACGCAAAGCGTATCATTGTGTCCCCTTCACTTTGCCCCTCTTTCCCAGTTCTGACTTTAGCATACCACAGACAGGACTACAACTTTTGCGAGACCGTAATAAGACCGATGAGGTGATGCTACCATTATATAAAGGTCGATATCATCGTGATAAAGCGATTGCCTTTGTGTTGAACTATTGGACCTAGTTATGAATGGTTGTTATTCGACCTGAATACTAGTGGAGAATGGTCGTTATTTATACCGTTGTTGCCAAAAATTGGTTAAATCGAAACAATTACTTTTTATATACTTTGCTTGCCTCTGTCGTCAATTTTTCCACTAAATTGCCCGAAGCAACAGATTTTTGGGTGGGAGGGCCATGGGAGGGGCGTGTGTGTGTGTGTGGGGGGGGGGGGGGGGTACATATAATAAATTTAATGTTTTTCGTTGAGCTTCTTTTCTGCTTTTTATTTGGAGCTGGCCCATTTTGGACTTTTACAATACTATAGTTTGTACGCGATTTAAAATGGCGCCCAAAGGCTCTATTAAAATATATCTTCTTGTAGATCTGTAATTCGAATAAATGAACTGTTTTATTGGAATTCTGTCATCATACTTTGTGAATTAATCAACACTTAATCAAATAAAAATACGACATCTCTTCTCATTCATTAATTATTTTATTAGTATTTAGTTTTATGTCGAAAACAGATTGGCATGGCATGCGCCATTGATGTACGTCAAATAATAATAACAGGACCGTTAATGGTAACGACCGAAACCTCCATTAATCACCGATGATCAATGGCAGGAGTCAGAAATCAGCTATTAGTCTTTTAGGGCGATCATATTACTATGTCAATTCTTTCATCTTCATTCCACTTCTCTGGTAATTAATTAAAGAAATTAGTATTGTGAAACCTTACTCTAAGACCAATCCTATACAGGGCCCTCACATAGGGAGGGGGGGGGGGGATGGCAAGGGGGGTGACACTTTGAGGAGGGGGAGGGGCGGCAAATTATCTAAGTGCATACTAGAAATATCAAAATGGGGACCCTTTCAATATTTATGGACTATAGTCTCCTTGGAGGCTGATATAGCCAATCATCGGCCTTCGCTTCCGCTAAACATATGTATTTCAGCATGGGGGTTGGAACTTGGATGGTTGACACGTGCGCGCTGTATCATAAGGTCTGTCATTGAGTCAACTGACGTGGTTTCGATTCCCCGGTTATACGTGACAAGGAGTAGGGTCGCCTGTCCAACTTCGTGGGTTTTCTCTGGGTCCTTCGGTTTCCTCCCACTGCTAAAGAACCCTACGTGCAAACGAGAATTATTAAAATAAAATTGAGCAATGTTTTAGTTTCGAAATGACCTAGCTTGTGTCGAGTGGACGTTAAAAACCCCATTTCTCTCTCTCTCTCTCTCCCTCTCTCTCTCTCTCTCATATTTCAGCAAATAGAGAGGGTAGACTTATGAATTTTCCAAGATATATTACAGGTTTTTCGATCAAATGGAGAGTTGAAGGGGAAATAAACATACCTATTTTTAGTAGTTTAATTAATAAATAGTTATATAGATAAAGTGTTAAAAGTATAAAAAATGTATTTTAAATTTCTTTAATCTTAAAAAAAATCAACAGAGCACAGGCACGGAACAAAGCAGTTAAAGTATGCAGGGGGGGGGGGGGCGGCGTCGAAACTTTTGAACTGGGGCGCCACATAGGCATGTGAGGGCCCTGCCCTTATATTACGGACGGGCAACTTGAGTATACGTCAATTTTTTTTTTTATCAAATCTGCATCCTTGGGGTTCTAAGTCAGTTTGAAGAGAACAGTCGGACGTTAAACCGAATTTAATTTCATTTCACTATTAGACAACTCATTCATTCAGACTTGTTTATACTGGCCCCGTGCTTACATGGTACACTGACCAATACACACTCTAAAAAGACAGTGCAGCACTAAAATCTCAATAAAAATAAAGAGACCCACAGATAATTCTAAATGCTAAAAAAGACGTGCTTTTGCCATATACAGTGTGCTGTGTGAAAAATTTTACTCGTAATAGTCCAACTGTCAAGGGCTTTTTGAGTTTTGACTCCCACGTGTACACCGGAGATCATTTTGTCGTCTCATCCGAACATAAAAAAAATATACGCAGGGTGGGCCAAAACCATTTTACCCATTCTGTTTATATACACACTCTTTTTTTTAAAAATGTGAATACTTTAATATTTCTTTTTCAGAAAAATGTCACATAAGCATGAATTTTTTATTGGAGACTATTAGTATTCAATAAAAACTTCATGCTTCTGTTATTTGCTTGGAGACTATTAGTAGTTGGAAGTATTTTTGATAGTTGGCGATATAATTTCCAAGGAATAAGAGTTAAACAATAATCTTATATTATTATGTACACAAACACACAGGATTGAATAAGATACACATTTGCTGCCAGTTGAATTTATGGGTTCAACGTGTTGTGGCATTCACAATGTTGTTTAGCTAATTCATGAGCCAACTCAGTACCAAGAAAGTCAATGGCATAAAATGTGTTAAGTTATTTATCTAATACTAAAAGCAAATCTATAGTTCTTAGCTAACTCAGCATCAAGGAAGGGTGGGGAAGGGGTATCAGTGTGAATCTTTTTGATTAATGATATGTCACAAAGGATGCATAGTTCTTAAGCCAACACAAAGACTACAGCTTATAAATTCTTAGCTGACTCAGCACCAGGGAAAATGGAATTCGATGTGAACTTTTTTTAAAATTTTTGTTATGTCAACAAATACGTACAGTTGTTTAGTCAACACTGATGCTAATATAAATCTTATAATTTCACAATTTCACAGGCAGCTCAGCACCAAGGAAAATGGGATTCAATGAGAACCATTTTGATTTATCGGATTTTAATAAAGGTACTGAAACGAAAGCCTAGTTTATAAAGCTGTATAACTTGAGGGGCGCTTGACAATAAATAAAACTGAAGAAGTGTGGATTTATGAGTTATGGTACGCTATCAGCGTTGGCAAGGTAAACGATCATTAAGACACCCTAGTAACGGTATAAAACTACGGTTAAAGTAAAAAGTAAAAAAAGACTTACCGACGGTAATATAAGTGTTCCAACAGCTTCTAGCATCCCAGTAACATCAATTTTACGTTCCTCCGTCCCCCCGTCACTGGTCTCTTCAGATCCGGCAGAGGAACATGTAGAGATGTTACTTATCTTACGACTACGTGGAGATTCGTCACTGGAACTATCCTTATGTCCGTCCGAAGAACGCCCCGTTGACGTAGACGCCGAACTGTCCGTGGAGTCCTTTTTCCGCACATTGTCCGTATCAGAAATCAAAAGTTTCCTCTCCCGTTCCAAATAGTCTTTAGCGAAAGGACAACTCATGATGGTTGAATCTTGTGAACTAAAACCAAATAAAGTTGTGAATCCCGTCAAATTTCGCTGTTAAATACGCATGGTTGATTGGTTGTATAAAACATTAAACTCCTATTGAAATACTTTACACGTTCGACACCCAACACGGGAAGCGATTACACGACCAAACCCTTTAACGGCTAAATTCACTACGAGTGATTTTCTGTGTTGTTGCTTTTATATATACGCTAAGCTTTTCCTGCTTACTGTGTGTAAAAGATTGGCTTTTACCGTAGTTTATATAGCTATGAAGTACTATAGTCGCGGTCTTTAACCGTTGGCAGAGTTTTACCGATATACCGTTTGGTCGTGATATCAAGACTCGCTTAACTTACTGGGACTTGGTTCGATTCAATGAATGCAGTGTACGCGCAATGCACGCTGGGATCATATTTATCAAGCGTTGTGTCCGTGTGTTGTGTGTGTATGTGAAAGTATTAATATAACGATCAGTTTATTTAGGAATGTCTATTGGGTATTGTATATGACAATAATAAAATAACTCTACTCAGTATCGGAAATCGCCTCTTTTAGCTATTTATTGTTGATATACAACTGTCATGGGAGTGTCATATCACCCCGTTGGCAGATTCACAAACCTTGTTAATATTTAAAAACAAGTAAACTAACAATTTAATAACTTTAAAATAATTGAATTGTCGTTTTTTTTTGTTTTTTTTTTTTTTGTTCAGCTACTCGATTCACTCGACCTGACTTAAAACTCTAAATTAAAGTCTTTGTACGGCAATTGCATTTTACGAAAAATAACACAATTTCCTCGGCTTACTCCACGCTGTAAAGAGATAAGGAGAGAAATGACTTGACATAAACTAGGCCATTCCTGAACTAACACATGGTTCATTTCTATTTTAATACATATAATTCGCTTGCGCGTAGGTTTTTTTTAGCTGCGGGAGGAAAACCGGAGGACCCAAACTTTGAACAGGCGGCCTTACTCCTTGTCACGTACAATCTGACAATTCAAGGCTTTTTCAAGCGGAAATCAGACTGAAAAATCTCGATGGACTTATTCTAGGCAAACAACTAGATCGAACACGGGATCTCAAGGTTAGCGAGCCAACGTCTTACCCACTGATCCACTGCGGCTCCTGATTAAATAAATAACAATAAACACATTGTGGCCCAACGAAGCAGTCCAAAAATAATTGATGTAATTAATACCAATTTTCCTCACCCGCCTCATTAATGCAGAGAAAGTAAGACGTTAAACCCCATTTGAGTTGATATCATTTCCTATGAATATCTTTCCTGGTTGTAAAATAACAACTATCTGGCTCATATTTTTAAACGAAATATTTATAATACGGTAAAAACAACTAACCTGATTATGAACAATGTTGAGAGAGAGAAATGGGGTTTAACCTCCACTCATCACATACTAGGTCATTTCGGGACTAAAACATGATTTAATTTTATTTCACTAATTCACTTACGGGTTGGGGTCGTTAGTTGTGAGATGAAACCAAAGGACCCAGATAAAACCCATAAGGTTGGACAGGCGATTACTACTCCTTGTTACGTACAAGACGGGAATCGGAACCACACCACTTGACTCAATGACAGACCTTATGATCATTCGGCCACCTAACCACTCTGAACAACGATGAACATGTTTAGATAAAGAACCATGGGTTGTATAATTGTATTTCAGTTGCTCTCAACTAAGATGTGCCGGGTTCGATTGCCGGTGTCGACCTGTAAGGAACCTTGGGATTTGTGCATCCCGCTTCCGACGCAGGGATAGCGCTTTGCCTTGTTATTTGGATAAAAAGAAAATCGCCCCCCCCCCCCCACCAGCCGTTTACATGCTGGGGTGCACATTAAAGAACGCTTGGCAGTTAGCAGTCTCAGAAACTGTCCAAGTGTACCCTGAACGGTTCTGATTCCGTAAAACGACCCCTGAGTCATCCTTTTAAGTCCAGTTGGTGCAGAAAGGTAGGACGTTGTACACGCAGTTTATTCATTACGATGGTCAGAAGCTGTATTCTGACAGATGTTGACCTTCACTTCATAGTTACAAATTCCGTGCGATTCTAACATGTCTAGACAATTAACGGACAGGTTGAATTGATATTCTGGTCGGTATTTAATATACAAGGGTCATTTATTTTGCCATCTCTGTGATAAGAGAGAGAGAGAGAGAGAGAGAGAGAGAGAGTGGGGGTGAGGGGGGTATTAGCGTCCACTCTACACAAACTCGTGATTATCCATTCTAGTTTCACCATCTCGGTGATGCAGGGATGAAAACCTGGCAAGGAAATACATTATAATCATTCGGACGTCGGGGTGGGGTGGGAATTAAGTGTTCTTAAAGTAGCTAAGTCACGAACTCAATATCATCAAAAATCTTCGACATTGAAAACACGAATTATTGGTCAATTCAAATCAACATTTGTCTTGTGATCTTACAGGGAAAAGATGGGCTTCTGATATCCAATATTCAAGACAAAATAAAAATTTACCATTGGTACACGAATCGTATATCATAATGCCTTTCAGCGCCATTTGGAACAAGGGACTCAAAGAACGAGGTTAGACACATTCCACAAGTCATGTCAAATGGTGACGCTATGTTCTTATCTGGAGAGCATGCGCAATAAATATCATCGGTGTAGACTGGAAAAACCAGGCGCTAAAGATTGCCATTCAATTGAGACTTCTGGCGTATTTCGCCGAACATAACTGATCAGAAATTACAGTAAAACAGAAACGGTTGAATGTAAATCAGTTTATATACATTCACATTACATTATTATATGCGTTGCGACCCATTTGTGTCAATTTCTAGGTCCCAAATATTAGCGATTTAGCTCCTTTAAATAGATTGCGACAAAATGTTTAGAATATACAAAAATTAAAGATCCCGTCCGCGGAGAATTAGGTGGCTTTTATTACTGTTCATGGATGATGTACAAAGATTTTTACAGTTGGCTAGAATTTAATGTATTTAGAAAGACGAATGGAGACGGATAATAATGCTAGCAAATAAAAGAAATTTACATGGTATACTCAGGTCACAATTCTATGGAATACAATTACTGCTTATTACTGAGTGAGGTTTCGACTAGGCTATAGTCGTTTTTATCAAGAGAAGTCTAATAGAAACGTCGCTCAGTAATCGGCAGCAATTGTATTCCATAAAATTGAGACCTGTATATTCCAACTCAATTACTAAATGTCATTGAAACAATTTACATGGTATAGTCAGTCGCCAATGAATTTCAATGTCATCGTTGTACGTCGAGAATGTAATGCAAGGGGTATAACTCTTGGTAAAAAAAACTTCGCTCGCCCGGGGCAGTATCACACTTTGAGGTATTTATTTTACAGTTGGTATAGTTACAGTGACTTTAGTTACAGTTGTTTTAGTGACAGTTGGGTATGATTAGTTATAGTTGGTATATACACAGCTGCTTTAGTTACAGTTACTTTAGTTACAGTTGGTATAGTTACAGTTGGCATGGTTACGACAGCGCTAAAACCCCTGTAGGCCCACTGAATCTTCCTCATAAATCTAAACAATCATAATGAATCCGATAATTACAATTGTTTTGTCATTTAAAGCGAGAATTTCAAATTTTCTAAGAAAGTCAAAACATAATTATTTCTATGTCTTTTGCTCAATAGGTTATCAAATCACTATTATACGAACATGGGCATTATTTCCCACCCTTAAAAATCTATGACACAGGAAATAACAACATGGGGCAGCCATTTTCCAACGTTGGAATTTGAAGTTAAAAATGATATTTTTGCCAATTTCTCAGCTGGCAATAGTGAATTATAGGATTAATAGGATTATTCTTTAACAAGGTAGGACTGTTTATGAATACCATCTATTTTAAGGCTTTATTTTAATACATTTTAAAAATATAACTTGAAAATTTGCAATTGCAACTTTAACAGAATGGGTTATTTTACTTGACAAAGACGAGAATATTCTGTTAATTTCACCAAAGGAACTGATACACCGGACAGACGATAATCATATATAATAAATTACCCTTTTCTCATTAGTAAAACTGTTTTTCAGTGTGGTAAATTATATTCGGTTCAGACGAAGCATATCTCAAGTTGGAACATAAATCAAGACTTCAATAATAGTAAATGTCCAATTATCTTCCGCTAGTGTATTAATATGGTAACTCATTAATTTATGCTTTTTTTCTTTTTTTTTTTGCCCATTTTTTCCCACTGGAAAAAGAATATTTTCTCCAGACGAAGCATGTCCCAAGTTGGAACATTAATTAGAATAACAATTCAACGCGTAGGAATACAATACTAGTTTTAATCAGGCGGAAGACTATTGTGTTACGTAATTGTTTGGTTCCGTTCGTTAACAGATAATTACTTAGGCCCTAAATCTATATTATTTGTTTATTTGCTTTATTCTATTTTTGTGTATAATTTGTATAAAACAAAAAAAGTTAAATTAATGATGTTTCTGCCTCGTTATTCATGTTGTATTACCCAGTTATAGAAATAATTGTTTAATGCAAGTTGCTGGAATACATGTTAATTTCGGTTCAGATAATTAGTTGCCGTATCATTAGAATCCAGTATTAGCTGAAAATATAAATTTATCATGGTTTTTATTTTGTTGACTTCAACCATATTTATAATAATTGTTTGTACATGTTAATTGGAAATGAAATGGGGTTTAACTTCCTACTGTTCTGCTCTGACTGAGCTATTGAAGAATAACTGGGCTGCAGAATACTAGCATGTGTCATTCGAATTCCAACTATCAAGGGTTCTTTTATCGTCCCATCCGAAGGATTTCGCTTAGTCTTGGTATATTTACCTTCCAATCTGTTGACTACTAATAGCTAACTGTATGTACAGTATATATAAGTATGTATACATTTTACATAATTCCTCTTTTTTTTCTCAAATAGAAGTTTAATGTGATTATTTTTACACGTGCGCAGCAGCTGTCAGTTTCACGTCATTGAATTTGTAAACAAGATACGGCAGATATGATTCACAGAAATAGATAACATGCGCGGAATATCAAAATGGCGTTGCAACCATGAAACGTTGCGACAGTAGAATGGGGGAGGTAGGGGACTCGTCCCAAATGCTCACAGCCTTCCATCTTCAATTCAAAATATAATTTATGCCCCCATTCTCCCTCCTGTAATTTAATTTAAGCTCCCAGTTTCCCGTCTTTAGCTTATAAATTATGCTCTCAGTCTCCTATTTTTAATGTATAATAATTTATTTTCGCAGTCTCCCATAATATATTTCATTTAAAATACAATTTACACCCTCCCAGTCTCCTATTTCAGATTTAATATAATGTATGCTCCCAGTCACTC